AGATTTTCGAAGTTTATTAGCCAAAAAATATTATTTTTACAGTATCTTCTAGATACTCGTCAACACTCTGTCGCTAATGAAGAACTGTATTCCTAATTTTAGCCAGTTGCTCCCACAATTATACGAACAGATAGCGTGTGCACTTTCTTTCATCCGAGAGACGCACCGCGCACAGTTGCAATGCTGCGTCTTCTTCCACCGTACGACCAGTTTGCTCAGATCTCTCTGTCACACATATGCGTTTATTTTGTTATAAAATCGATTTATTCAACAGATTAATGTATAATTATAGCATTAATTTCCTTGTTCAGTCCAACGTTCGTATCTACTACTACTAATAATTATAGTAATAATAATAGTATGCTTTATTATCATAAGACATAATCTTGTAGACAAAGCTTGGGTAGTAAATACTTAAAAAAATGCAATACATACCAAATGAAATGGGTACAAACTATGTTAAAATGAAGGATATAAAAGAGTAGACATAAAAAGTAACAACTTAGGAGCTCCTTAATAAGTAAAGATAAAAAATATACGTAAGTCAGTTGAAAGCTATCGTTGAAATATTCATCCAAAGTATAATAGGATCTATCAGATAGAAATTGTTTGACTAATTTTCTGAATTGGAAGTCATTTATATTGGCAGATCTTATGTCCATAGGCAAATGATTGTACATTTTTCCACCGTTGTGAAATATGGAGTCTCTGGTAATGTTTTTAGTTGACACAGTGAGTTTCAAAGTGTGTCTGCTGTTTCGGGTGTTATAATGGGAAGAGATGGAGCAAAATTTAATATATGCTTATTTATTAAACACACAGATTCTAGTATAAATAATGCAGTTACCGTTAGAATATTATGTTTTTTGAAAAAGGCTCTACAGGAACCTCTTGGTTTAAGGTTTCATATACACCTTATTGCAATTTTCTGTAAAATTAGTAGACTTTTGAATAAAATTGGACTATATGCTCCCTAAAACGGTATTTTGTAGCGTAAGTGAGAATCTATGAGTGCATAGTACGCCATATTTGCAGTGCTGAACCCCAATTCTTTATAAATCACTCTAACCGCATAACAGCCAGAGGAGACTTTTCTAATGAGTTGTTCAACCTGATTTAAACATTTCAAATTCTGGTCAATGAACGCTCGTAGAAATTCAGTTCGTTGATTGAGCATCTAAATTATATTAAATTTGTTTCAGTTAAGTTGAAGGATAAAATGTTTAAATCACACCAATCTTTAACCTTTTCTGAGTCGGCAGGGATTATTTTGAGCAACTCAAGTATTTTTATTAATCCAAAGTATGGTAGTGTCATCTGCAAATAAGGTGAACTTCCTAGAAATATTAAGCTTGGTGAGGTCATTGATGAACAATAAGAAAAGAATGGGACCTAACACAGAACCTTGTGGAACTCCAGAATTAATTTCCCTATTTTTTTAAAGTTGAGTTGTTTTAACCATTCGCGTCCGTCCCATTAAGTAGGAAACGAACCATTCGTGAGTTAGTTCTCTGCATACATAACGTTGGAGCTTCCTCAGCAGTATTTTGTGATCAACGCAGTCAGATTCCCTTAACAGGTCAGAAAATACTGCGGCAGTCTTTTTACCGACTCAGAATAAACATTATTCAGAAATGAGAAATTAGCATAGTGCGTATTTTTATTATTCTGGACGCCGAATTGATTTTCACTGATGAAATGAATCCAAGTAGTCGTTTTTTAACTAGTTTTTCAATGATTTTTGCGATGGTTGGTATGAGAGATATCTTCTATAGGCTTCATATTTTCGATTATTGGCGTGAAATGTGTTAATTGAATCCATATGCTAGGATTTCTTTCAGCTCACCCATTCGCGATTTATTTTTCAACACATGAATTTCATTTCAAATACTCATCATCGATTGAACAGATTGCTGAAGGACGTTTCAAATGCGGCGCCGATTCGACCGATATTTCAACACAAAAAATACAAAAAATTAATATCTTTGATATTAGTCTCGTTCCGCAAAAAAGAGACCCCGCCACTTTTATCCTAATAACCTTCTAATAACAGTGACACTATTTCCCGAAACACTCCGATGAAGCTCTTTAAAATGCAATAAATCAAGGCGCCACCAAGAAAAGATCGGAGATAAAATAATACAGCAGCCCGCAACAGGTAAACACGAAATTACGGCAATCTCTGTATAAGTAGCCCGTATCAAATACAGGGGACCTATCATTAAGTCATTACTGAATTATAGACCGTCAAACACAGGAGGAATGAAAAAACAACGAAGACTCGGGTCTGTATCGCTACCGTTTAATTCTTCCTAAAATTCACCGAGTCATCCGACACGGTGAGTGCTTGTAAACACGGTGATTCAGCGGTATTTTTTATTGGGACCTAATTTGATTTGATCGGACGTGACAGGCGTGGGAGTTACGATCCGTTGAGAAAATCCCGAGTTCCATGTGAGGAGTAAATGTGCGTTCATACATTTGTTGTCTGATCTGGAAATACACGAATATATAATTGTATGAAAACTTCAAGGCCACGACAAAAAAAAAGAGTCTTGATGTGTCGTCTTTGACAATGTGTATCGCAGTTGTAGGCAAAACTTCAGACATAAAGACCTGCAAACCATAAACTGCTTCTGAAAAATCCGAAAAATAGCTCAGAAACAATCCTGGGCCCTGATTTTTACACTCTTTGATGAAATTCAATTCCATCTGCATGGTTCGATACAAAAAAATATTGTAATGTATATGTGTAACTTCACTATATTGTCAAAAGCCAAATTATCAAAAATAATAATTTCTGAAAATATTTTATTTTCCAAATTTTAACCTAAGTGCACCGCACTTTAATGATCTGGCTTGTTAGATTACATTTTTGAAAAAGCGTAACATTGTTGAGGGGAATATTGTACCTTCATTTCAATCAACTTTAGTATTTTCTATGATTATTATTTCTATATAAATCCTACCATCTGAGTTAATCCCCAACTGTCATTTGGGCCGCGACAATATGGAGCAATGAGCCCAAATCTCACACGCCCATTTACTTATTTGGTTCAATTGGACATTACTTAAGATTACTGATTGTTTTTTTTGTGTTTTGAACTCGACGACACATTTCAATTTCTCATTATAGAGAAGTGTTCCAAAATTCTGACGCTTTACGTGAAGTGGATAAACATGCTTTTGCTTTGTAGTTTGATTTGAGCAATTTTGAAATATGGAATTGTACTCATGTAACGTCCTGAGTTTGCTTCCATTTCGAATCTGTGGGTAATCGTTTGTATTAACCTGATGTTTAAAGTGTTACGTTTTTCCCCGTGGGTTTGCCAATAATTGACTACACTGAACAATAATCAAACTTTATTTCACTTTAATTACAACAAACACTTCGACTTAAACTTCAACTATTACTCGAATGACTATCGCCTTCCTAGATAGCTTCGCGTACCGCACTGTAACTTCCACTTGACATCTAGAATGGCAGCGTACATCTTACGTTCGCGCGCTCTTAGCTACCAGTGGCGGACGGCGTTATTTTATTTAGGGCATGATTTAAAACAATAGCATGAATTTCAACGTATTTGAAAACTACAACAATCAGAAGAACCACATAAAATCAGTTTATATAGACATATTACCACGCGAAAGAGATCACCACCACAAGGTTTACCTTTCTTGCGTCGTACATTAATGGAATTCAAGGATTTTTACTTTTGTTTTCATAATGTGTTCAACTAGATATTTTTAGAATGTAATTTAGGAACTTCAGTTGTTTCGAATATCAGACAAATCAAACGAAAATATTAAAAACTAGTCAAATACAGATTGTTTTGTTCTATTGATAACACTGATGATTTTTAAACAAGACTCAACAAGACTCTTTGGAAGGTTCAAAATAGATGAACATTTCAACCTAGCAGACCACTATTATAATATTCATGCAGTCATTGTTCACCGTGGTTCTGGCGTTGAATTTGGTCGGACTGGTTTAAGTTTGACGATAGTCGTGTCACGAAGTGTTCTGGCGATGCATTGAATTTATTGGAGCCTCTGGAGACACCCTACATTTTGTTTTATAAGAGAAAGGACATTCAGATGATGTGGTGCTGCAGGTTTTTCCTGCAGCTGAAAAAGCAAATGCGCCACTGGAATCAATGAAGTCGCCCCGGAGCGCCAATTAATTTTTATTGTTGTTTTTATTTTATTTTTATCGTTGTTTTAATAAAATATTCATTTTGAAGTTGTTGTTATGTTTATAGACTTTTATGACTTCCCTGTAAAATACAGCATATACTTTGCATATGTAGCTGCTAAATATTGGGTGTTTTCGAAAATTCATACCGTTGTCTAGTCAAGGTGCAAGTCTAATCAACAAGTTCAAAAACATGAAAAATAGAGATAAAGGTCCTAAAAATATGAGCGACAGCTCATTCGATTCGAAATCACCTCCAGAAAAATATTTCTGAAGGATTTTGGTTCAGGTAAAAAATTGCAATTAACAAAATAAGATTTAAAAAAATGGTATTTAGTTTTTGGTTAATAACTCAAAAAATATTAATATTCAAGCAATTTTGAAAAAAGCTCGTTAAAGAGGAGGAAATTTCCGATAAAAAAGTCCCGACTCCCGAAACTCTATCTCCATTATTTATAATTTTAATTTGACGTTAAATAGGGTTCCGCGCGGCTGTTAGGGCATGCGCGCAATGCCGCTAAAGAGAGTTTATGAAAAGAAATAATTTTTTTATAACATAAAATATCACTTTAAAACTTTGTTGAGCTCTTTTGATGTATATACTTCATACGATCCTGCGATAAAAGTTCATAAAAATTCATTAATTTATTAATTATGATTCTTTATAACTGTTGCAAAATGAAATATCTAAAAATTGTTGATATTTTTTTTTTCAATTGATATTTAGCTATGTCTGTTTTCACATTAAACAATTACAACAAAGATTCTTCTAACTGAAATGCGTTTTAAATCAAAAACAACTTACCACGTTTTTGCATGAAGGAAAACAGGTCATCTAAGAATTCTTTCCTTTTGGGGTCGTCATTTATCTCGTATAACTGAAACAAAAAAAATATATTAGAGCATACACTTTACACAACTCCATTCCATTTGAAAAAATCATTCAAAGTTTATGGACGAAAAAGGCATTTAAAATATAATGGTGTTCCAAACATTTTACCCTATTTATATCTCTGTGAATTTTTGTAACCTTACATGTCTAATTCGACTGGGCTAATAGGCATTATATCGAGTTCGTTTATGTTTATAATAAATGACCCGAAGACCATCAAATAATCCAGTGTATATACGCATAATTAAAGAACACCGAATGATTGGCAATTAATATCTGTATAGTGGAAAAAGTTAATTTTGAAATGTTAATTAAAGGCGGGTAAAATTGAACTTTGGAAAGTACGTAGGATCCAATAAAACACGTACAGTAAAAAGCAATTTCGAAATCCAAACAACGCCTTCCGACAACAGAAAGCCGTAATAAACCCACGGTAATTAATCATTAAGTGCGCATTAGACCGGAGGCCTAATTCGATTTTAATACTAGAGGACAATAAATTTTAATTATTGCAAAGTTCGATAGTCGCGACCTGTTCAGTGTCCTTCGATAGAAATACACTTCTTCATTAATACGAAAAATTATGAAATTGGGCAACTTCTGAAAAATAGATCAATGCCATTTTTGATAATATTTTTATTTATGCTGCCAATAGGGATGTTACTATGAGCCCAAAAATTACTTTCATTATTATTTTTTAGCACAACTAATATTTGTTTTGTGAATCCCATTCCAAATTTCGCTCTGAAACATCAATATACGTCACGTGACCGCTGTGACGTCACTTGTTCCCAAACACTGGTGAACTGAAGAGGTAATGTTGCTGATGAAAAATGAGTTCTGAGATAAATGATCACTTTTGAAATTTTCGAAAACTAAAATAGGAATTTTCGTTACTATGAAAGTAAGCAAATAATTTTAGTTGGTGTTTCAAAAGATTGGTTTACACCAAACATTTTCATTTTTCAATGGAAGCTCTAAAATCCACGTTGACATCTTATAGTAAGTGTGTTTTATGGGATCTTGTCCCAAAACTCTAATATATCTCAGATCTGGGGTCTACCTTCTCAAAAATAGGATCATATATACAGGGCATTTCTTTAATAACACCCATCCTCTTTTATTTTTTGGACAAGTCAACTCAAAAAGTTGAAATTTGGGATAATGAAATTAATGCATGAATCCTTTATTTTGCAGTAAAATTGACAGATGAAATTTTCCAGATCGCGACTGGGCGCCATCTGGGAAAAAAAATTAAATGGAAAGGGGGGTGTTGTGATACATCATTTTGAAACTCCTGACGAATACTTCTCAACCCTAGAATATGGAGTCAATATCTTCACCTACTACGAAATGTCGCCATCTTGAGTTTCATCTATCAATTTCACTTCAAAATAAAGTATTTACGTATTAATTTCATTATTCAAAATTTTAATTTTTTGAGTTGACCAGTTCAAAAAATAAAAGGGTGGGGGACATTTAAAAAAATGCACTGCACGGTACTGAATTATGAATTAATAAAAATTAATTCATGTTCAATAACATTGCAACAAAAACACTCAATCATCTATTTAACAAATCATTTTAAATATTAACTATTCCACAGAATGACAATTCTTTCTTTAACTTCGAGTAAAAACACTGAAGAAACTCATCACAAATACAGTTCTTTATTGATATCATAAATACGAAAAATACCCATTATCCTGCACATATGGTTATCGATAATAAACACTCCCAAAGGGGTCGAAGACATATGGTCACAGTAAAAAAATGGGCCTAGATTAAAAAACACCGCACTAATGACTTCCCCGTTCGAAACGTCAACATCATCATCAAAGTCCGAGCACCAAAAATAAATAAATAAAAACGCTCTCATCAATATCTCGCCTCAATATCTCCACTCAACTATAAAAAAACCCTCCTTATACAAGATCGTACAGGTGATTATTCTTATCCGTACATTATTTACGGACGTTTTCGGTCCAATTTAGGCTCAATATGGCTCGGTTTATATCGCAGGAGATTGATTGCTGACGATTTACAAACGGGCTCGGGTGGAAAATGGTACCGATGATTCCTCGCTCTTGATGAGCGCTAACAGGCGTTTGATTGATGCGACCTACCGCCTCCGGGGATTAGGAGAACAGCGGCGGTGGCACCATCGACTTCAACCGGCCGACGATGATGTCTTCAAAATGTCGGTCGATGAAATGTTATAAGATCCGGCTCGAAGGACCAAATATTTTGCAACTCTGGTTTCTTATACTCATTTAATGCAACAATTGTGAGATTATGTCACTGAATCTTTTGGAAAGACTGCTAGGATAACTTTCAATTTCATTGTGAGCAAAGAATCGGACCCAGAAAAACATAATTACTACGCCTATGCCATAATACTGGGCTGCTTTATAACATATACTCCTATTAATTTTCTTTTGTTATAGTCCTTCAGATGCATATTTATTCCTCCTCAGATATAACTAGCCTGTTACTTTTATTCTCTGGTATGAACATCAAATCATATTTATAACCCGTCTCAAACAAAAGAGATATTGTTAATGAAGGTTTGTTGTGAGCGAAAGTTATTCTTTTTCGTTTTCTCTAGTTTGATACATCGACCACATTATTCACAAAACAGATATGAAAACAGTTTTGTATCAGTAAAATCGTATCTTCGTTGGAAACATTTATCACATTACATTGTGAGATTTTCATTGCAACAGTTACGAAAATGAAATAGATTATTTTTTTAACGTCGTAATTTCAAAGAAACGACCTCACATGGCGAAGAAAAACATGTTGTTTCATCAAGATAACGCATCGTGTCACAAATCAATCAAAACAATATCAAAACTACATGAATTGAACTTCGAATTGCTTCCACATCCACCATATTCACCAGATTTGACCCCCAGCGACTACTGGCTCTTCGCAGACCTCAAAAAAAATGCTCACCGGTGAGAAATTTCGCTCAAATGAAGAGGTTATCGCTGAAACTGAGGCCTATTTTGAAGCAAACGATAAATCGTTACAAAGGTTACAGAGGTAGATATTATTGACTAGATTATTTCCAAAACCTACAAAAACACGTGATTTACCATTTCAACAAATAATAGTTTAAGAAAATTCATTGAAAACAATAAAGACAAAATTTCAGTGTCGGATAGATCAGGATTTGTGGTTCTTTCCCAAAACTTTATATTGGTCAAACAGGTGAACCATTTCTCGAAGAAAAAGAGAACATAGGACTAGTTTCCAATTTGTGAACCTGCCAAGGTTGCAACCAACCTTGGCAGAAAGTGTCAATCTTTCGGAATGCTTGGAAATCATTAAATATAAAAATTCTGAAAATTTACGGAGTAATCAAATATAGAATTGAATATAGAATTATCCATCATCATATATTTTCTCTAATCTGGAAATTAGTAATTAATTTGAAACTCAATCTTTCGGAATGCTTGGAAACCAATAAATTTAAGAACTCTGAAAATTTACTGGTAATTAATGATCAGTTGATAGGTAAATTCAGGTAAATTTCATTTATTACATGTCTTTTCAAATGAGTTTATAAAATGAATTTCTCATTGTTTTAAATATGAATTAATTTATACTTAAACTCACCTAATTTACACCTAACCTAACCTAACATAAACTCAGGTAAAATTATTAATCATTGAATAGGTAGAAGGAATATAATTGAAATTGTTTTATTGCATGAAAAATTAACAACGATATTCTTTGATAATCTTCTTCTTCGTCTTGAAAGCCTTCAAAATTCGGTTTTCTGCCCTCTTTTGAAATGTTATGTTTCACATTATTTTATTTGCTCTGAAATCATCTCTGAAAAAAAAAATTAGCGTTCCAACCGATATTTCAGATACATTGTTATATTCAAGTCAAAAAATTTTGACAATCCTCATAATAAAATATCTAATGTTTGCATAAGTTTCTGGTGACAGTATTCCTTTCAGTACAGACCACAAAAGTGGTAGGATATTTATATCCAGTAGATATATAATGAAGTAGAGTGTTTTTAAAATGATTCTCCACACTTAGAAGCATTAAAACTACAATATTTTCGAAATTATCTAATACGACTACCCGACTAAAAATGACCGATAAGCCCGTTTTGTTTTCATCGATCACTTTCGACTATCAACTTTATCGACAATTCCAAGAAAAAAATTATTTATAATACATCCCAAATTACTTTTTAAATACATGAAAGGAATTCGAAATTCGTCTTTCCACCGATAAATATCCAATAATTGTGAAGTTTTGATAGGGACCTCGCCCAATTTGCTACAAAGACGAATAAGGAACAACATTTGAAGATTATTCTGTCTACAAACATAGGCGCCGATAAAGCTGTATAAAAGTACTCGTAAATGGAAAATAATATAATATATTTTCGTAGCATTATGAAGTGATTTTTCACTATTCGCAAAAAAAATATGGAAATTGAGTCAGATGTTGGATGAATCTGTTATATCTGGTGAAGTAAAAAACATAATACAAAAATACAACTCCAATGCAAGATTTCTACTTCAAAGACAAAACCCCGTATCCAGTTTTGAAAATGTTACTAAATATTATGTAACTAACTTATTTTGGTGATCCTACTAATAATATCGTTCGTTTTTGAAAAGGCAAAGAATTGGACGTAGCCTATATAACAAATAATAATTTGAATAAATTCATCAAAAACAATAAAAATAAAACTTCAGGGCCGAATAGATAGAGAGAATACAAGTTGAATGTGGTTCTTGACTTACGTTTTATATCGGCCAAACCGGAAGAACTTTTTCCAAAAGAATAAAAGACCATTGAAGTAGTCTTTTGAATGGAAAGACCAATTCGAAATTTGTTTTGACTCAATGTTCAAATATATTTGATTTGTTCCCTTCGTATGTTTGCTGGTATCCGTCTGTTTAATATACTGCCATGCGATATGAAGACACTGCCACCTCAAGTTTTAAAAAA